GAGCCCTTTGACCCCCTCTTTAGAAGGGCTTGAAGTAGATGATGAGCCAGCCAAGAATCCATCGCTGATGGGTATAGGCGGCCGCCGCCGCGGTGGCAAACTCCCCCTGTGAAGTCTTGCGGATGCCCAGGGAGAGGTCCTTGGTAGCGTGAGTCTGAGGAAAAAACCGGCAGACCCTTGAAAGTATCAGCGATGAGACTGGCGATATCGGTATAAGCACCCTAGTCGGCTTCGGTGAAGATGCGCCGAACTCGCATTGATAGAATGCACCGGTAAGGGCCCGGCCTTGCCTGACCCAACTCTGGATGGGCAACGGCTGCCAAATCGAAGCGGGCTTGATGTTCTCCCCCCATCGCGATGCGTTGCCCAAGTCCTCCGGATGCTCCATGATGAAGGGGATTTAACTCCAATGCTATGGTGATGACCTGTAGGCAAAGTTCCACCATCGAATTGCTTGCGTTGACTTTATCCAGCTTGGCCCCCTTGAGCCAAGGAAAACCCCACGGGCGCATAGCGGCCGCGGCCCGTGGTCATTTGCCCATGGTGCCCTCGACCAAGTCCCACATGGCGGGGACATGATGATTGCATCATATCCACCTTCACGAAGAGTCGCCAGAATCTTCTGGCGCAGTGCATCTTGCAAAAGATCATGCTGTGGATCTCTAAGGATATCGAATTCGTCTGCCACGATAGTCACTTGCCTCTTGGAGGCGAGCTTTTGTAGGCGCTTCACCAGGCCTGTGTCACGTTCGCGACCGGCGAAAAGGTAGAGCACCCGGTATACCGCTCCTTCGGCTTCTCTTGCTGCGGGGCTCCAGCCCCTTCGCGTCCGGGTGGTCGAACATGGGATGCCCCGGATCGAGGCAAACCCTGCACACGTGCACCCGTCCGCACCCGCCTTGACACCCCTCCTGCTTGTTGTTGTAGGCGAAGCAAATCTGCCTTCCATCGGGTGTGGACCCGTGTAAACCTGCACCTTTTGCCTTGCCCTTTCCTCGATCACCTTTCTTGCTCTTGCCTTTTCCTTTTGCGGTCCTCCCTTTCGAGTAGGGAGAGTCTGCATGATGTGGGCGATCTGGTGCTCTGCCACGTGCTCCCCATCCGTCCTTCAAGCTCTGCGCAGCCGAGCTCACTGCCAAGGGGGTGCTGAAGTACCTCTCTCTGATGTCCGGGTTCTTGACAATGTCCTTGAGGGCGGTCACGAACGGGGTGCCCCTGTTCACCTCCTCCATGGCCTCCTTGCGCATTTGGAACTCATAGTTGATGATCAGCTTCAGCGACGGCCTGTGCAATGGGACGCCGTCCACATTCTGCGCCTCCAGCTGGGACACGTGCTTGGAGCAGATGTAGTTCCGGTACTCGATGGCCACAAATGGGGAGATGTCGTCCAAGACTCCTCTGTGAGGATACCTAAATCTGGCGAAGATGAAATGGTTGACCATCAACATGACCTTCGTCCTGAACTCCTCCATGTTGTTTGGGTTGTTGGTCTCAACCCTTGCCTTCTTGATCTTGACCTGCCCCGACTTCGCCATCAGCAAATTGCCAGTCTCCGCCTCATCGTCCTCATTGCGCGAGCCGAAATGCCGAAGCGACATAGCCCTGAACTCTCCTTGATCCAGCTGCTCGCACAAATCCTCGAAGCTAGGCTTTCCAGGGCATTCACCATCTTTGAGCTTGTAGTACCTCTTCTCGAACTCCTTCCGGTAGAGCTGGAGGTCCACCGGCGGAATGATCTTCGCCGCCTTCTGCAAGGTCGCCTCTGCGTCCATCTCGTCCTGGACTGCAATCCTCTTCCCTGCCGACTGCCATGCCAGATAGAGCGCGGCCAAGCGAATCGCATCCTTCGGCCTCACGTCCACATCCACCCCCAGCGCGTCCTTGGCCAAGTCAGCCAGTGTCTTCCTGTCCACGGCTATGGCAGCCATCAGGGTCATGGAGACCTGCCTGCATGGTCTTGTCCACGGCCCTTGCCTCCAGCAAGCCTTGGAGATCAGGGTTGAGGTTCCCGATCTTCTCGTCCTCCGTCCCAAGAGCCTTCCTGACTCTGGCCTCCGGCCTGACCCCTTCCCAGGTCTATTTGAGCCAGGCACCGGCAATGAAGTCCGCACGATGCGAACGATCGAACGTCCGCGACGCGCGAACCCAACCACCAACCGGTGCCCCTCATTGGGCCCGCCCTGAGTTCCCAGGTGCCTCCCTTTTTCACCTCCCTTCCTTCAAGATCAGGCCTCGCTTTCGGAAGCCTCCATCACCGAAGAGGATGATTCCGATGAGGGGTCGTCGTCCTTGCCCTCACCTTGCAAAAGGATCTCAGCCATCTTGGCCTTCACACCAAAACACACGCCACAGAGCTTCTCACCCTCCTCTGCTCTGATCTCCGGACGCTCCTGCCCAACCACCACGTAGTTATGGTAGTGAACTCTCGGGATCCTGAAGCACTCTCCAATCCGGTGCAAGGTGCGCCTGCGTGGCCTTCCCACCACCGACAGGACATAGGTCCCCTTCGGGTACAGGCTCTCTGGCTTGTGGTCGGGCTCCTCCTCCGCGTCGCTGATGACCTCAGTAGGCGATGCAGGCCTCGACGTTGGCGTCGCCGGTGGCGTGCTTTCCACCCTCTCTGCACCAGGCCCAGGCTTCAGCACCAAGCCACCTGACTCACGTCCCGGCCACATGGGTGGCGTCAAGGGCATAGCCATGCTCGTGGCCTCCTCCAACGTCTTGTCGAAGTTCTCTTGAAGCCACCTGATGTAGTTGTTGATCACCGACTTGTCGTCCAGGACATCCGAGGTCTTGTGGTTGCCCTTGGTCTTGTGCGCCACTCCCCCCTGCGCTGCCAGCACCACCTTCTTCGTCGTGACCGCGTACTCCTCATCCACGCTCGGGCTCCATCTTCCCCATCGACGCCTGACCTCCTTCGGCACCTCAGCAATCAGCGCCCAGGACATCGTTGTCACCCGTTCCGAACGCTCTGACCAATAGCCAGTGCCCTCCGCGGTCATCAACAACCTCCGTCTCCCATCCCTCGAAGTCAAACTCGAGGGCAACTCCGACAGCAAGGCTCTCGAGTATGCCATGGCGTCCGGATACCTCATCATCGCCCCAGCGAAACCGTGGAGGTTCTCACTAGGCCTTGCCATCAGGAAGTCCCTGCTCTCCGACTTGCCGTCCTTATTCATGGTGACGAAGAGCCCGTAGCCGACTCTCAGCCACTCCTTCTCGAAGACCCAGGCGTTCACTGAGATGTGGAACTGGACCACTTCCACTCGCCTTCCGGCACCCGTAGTTTTGCTCCTCGTGATATCTCCTTGAAGTCCGACTCCAACCTCCCACATCAGCGTAGCTGGGGGGACCCCCTCTGTGTCATGTGCACGGAGGGCCCCCCACAGCTTGAGGAGCTTAAACCAGCAGAATACCCTCTTGTACTTCTGCAAGGAGGTGTTCATGACTCCTTCTTCCCATGCCCGCAGAACCTCCAGCGGGAAGCGAGATGCTTTCTGCCTTGCCCTAGGCCCAGCAAATAGTGATGCAATGCCATAGATGTCGACAACCTCCTTTCCTGCGGCAGTTCCGCTGCATTCTCCATAAACACCAGGGCCTTGAACAAGGACCCTGGTACGCTGCGGCCGCAAGGTTCTTCAAGTCGGGCGTTGATGTACATCATCAAGTCCTTTGGATGGCGTAGCCATTGAACTCCATACACGCCCTCCATGTACTCTTGGATCCGTCTGGCGTGCCTGACATGTTGACGAATCGTGGACGCACGTCGGCCCATAGCATGCCCATAGCATACCGAGTTGCTACGTACTTCATCGCCTCGAACTCCTTGTCTGGCTTGCCAAGGTAGCCGGCCTCATACAAGAGCTCATGTAGCTCCTTCACCCACCGTTCACGTTCTCCCTGCTCGATCTTCTCCCTCTGGTTGTCCCCAACGACCTTGGCGGAGAGCCTCTGCAACCTTGTAGTCCACGTAGCCTTCGGCATCAACCGTCGGGCCATCTCCCGTCACCTGCGCCTCTCCCTGCGGGGTCTTGGCCAACTGGCGGTCCACATACCTCTTGTCCCTGAACAGCAATCGCTGGTGCGTCAGGAACACATTGTCTTCTAAGTCCAGCCGCCGCCTCTGGCGTTTGGCCTCACGGTAGAGCTCCGTGTAATCCTCCTCCTTCCATCGATCGGCCAAACCTGGCAACAAGCCCCGCACTTCCCGTTTCGGCATGCTGTCGAAGAAGGCGAGGCTTTGGGCTTCCCATCCCTTTCCGAGAAGCGTGCCCACTACGCCCGTTGCAGGCATAGCGGGAAACCCGGCCCCACCTCCTTGTTGAGCCCTGTGCTACGTTCCAGGCACATATCGTCATGCATGCTTGACTAAATATAGCTACTTAATTAAGCTACTGCTACTACCTAGGACGCAGGATAGCTCACGCTCGAAGTAATGATTTGGTTTCTAGATTTTTAGGGAAACTTAACGACCGTTCTGCCAATCAAGCCAGTGGTTTTCACCGCCGTCCTCTTCAGGGTCTGCGCATGGCAAGCTGACATAGGAGGCTGCACCGCCCATGTCACCACCATGATGTGCGTGTCACAAGGCCGCCAAGGCCAAGGGTTCACCATGCGTGAGTCCAAGCCCTGTGTCCTGCAATTATTAATGTGAGTTGTACAGGTTGATACATTGTTGAGCGTTCTACAACCTCACTGAACAGTGCGTTAACTCATACATTGGCATGTGTTGGCTTGGTTGTTGAGGCGTGGCCCAACACGGACACGTTGAACCTGTAATGTGAAACATTTGAACTCATCGGGGTTGCTTGCGTGGTCTTGCCACGACGCCTTTATCTATGCTGCAGGGTTGGATGAAGCCACCCTGTCTGAGGTTTGTGTACATACTTGGCACGCCGATCATTCCAAATCGGATTTCAGCCAAAATGGCGTAAAGAAAGAGCCATGTGCAACATCCAAATCCGCGGCAACGGCCGAATCCGCAGAAGATCGCTCCGCGCCTGGAACGCTCCTCGAAAGCGCTGATCAAACTAGACAAACTTGGCAAACTCGTAGTCACTGTGTACTGATTGAGTCTACTTCTGGCTGCACAAGTCAAATTACGGACTACATCATGACTCCACAAATCTTGGCTTTGGAGACGCACAAGAACGCGTCTTCAAGAAAGCTCCTGGGTTTCCTGACGAAGAATCCCTCACGTGATTGATTTGGTTTTCGAGATATTTGCGACCACAGGACACAGGGCACTTGAATCCGTTGTCGCACGTGAAGCGCGTGACACGCGTCTCTTCCTGCAAGTCTTGCAGTCGTTCTTTGGCAGCTGCGACCAATTCATGCTCCACTTGGTTGGCAATGCCACCGTTGATGGCTGCTTCCAGTGCCTGCCAGAGGTTCTGAGTGGCGAGACAAGTCCAAGACTAGCAAGCTTCCGTGGAGTATCGGATTCAATGTCGCTGCGAAGCGGAGCTTCTTGCTTGTTTACCCCTGTACGGTCAATCCCCTTTGCCCGCCCTTCCCCACCTCCACATCGTCTCCTTC